CTGCTGCAACTGGCCATGAAGATACCAAACCTATTACAGTGAACAGACCTTTCTGATCTAATTGTGCAGAATAAGAATGATTAAATAAAGTGCTCTGCAAAAGCAACAATCCTCAGTTTCAACTCATCTCACCCTTAATATTTTGATGCTCCCCAATTCTCTCATGTACTCACACATGTGCTCAGGGAAGGGCCCGAATCCACAAGCTGGACTTAATTCCAGTATGACATTTTCCAGGGGTTTCTTGCTGCCCTACCAGGACAGCCAGGTACCAGGAAAAAGAGAGCAGACAACAGGGCATATCAGGCTGTGTCACAAGGGAGATCACAGAGAAGGGTCCTGACAGCACAACCTGTAGGCTGCTTCCCCCGAGACCTCTCCCCTACTGACTTACAGCATGAAAACAGCAGCTTCTCAGAGTAGGAGCCAGCATAGCGCAATCCACAGGGACGTTATTACTCCTCCTCTTTGCCTTGCACCCTTCAGGCGCTGCCATCCCCAGCATTCCCTCCAGCACCCCCTGCTCTGTGTCTATAGCAACTGGAGTACACACACAGCGTTCGGTCTGGCAGGCCAGCATGGCAGTGGAGTGGGAGCCGAGAGGTGAGCTGTGCGAGGTGCATGCACCCGAGGCGGGCTGTGGGCACGAGGGCTTTCCTTCTTACACAGCTCCCTGGTGGCATCAGGCTTTCCCAACAGTCTTCCCCACAACTGGGGCTAGGCTGCTTGTTGCTCAGACTGGGGAAAAAGAAGCCTTTGTGGCATGAGCGAACAGGCATCCAAAGGGCAGACCCCTCGCAAATACCCAGGGTCAGGGGAAATTCCCATCTGGGAGATAAGAGGATGGTTGGCCTCAGGCAGAGAGCAGCAGACACTTAAGGAAGAAAAGCAGCAAGTGGTCATCTCCACTGGTGACATTTCCCTCTCCTGGTCTCACAGATGTGCAGAAGCGGATCTCATTTGGGTCATGTCAAGAGCGGAAAATGTTCCCTCTCCACCATGCCCCAGACAGGCTGGGAATCCAGCTGATAGCTATCAGGGGAGACCCTTTGCTCGGGCCAGGCTGTTACCTGAGTCAAGAGGTAAGTTGTTCAGTTTTCAAGCTCAGAGTTTTTCCTTCACAGAAGACACACAGTACAGGAGCAATAGGACCATGGCCCACCACACCTGTGGCAGAGTCCCCCACACCTGCCCTGCAACCCATTGGACAAGGTCTCCAGATACACCTAGAAAAAGAAACTCTCCCCCCTTCCAAACGTACCAGTACTCAAAGCTCCAGCTGCCCTAGCGCTCTACGTTAGTCAGAAATTAGAGGAATTAAAAGGAATAATGTCTGCTGCTCATGTACTTCTGCCCTTCCCCTGATGCAAGTGGCCTCTTAAAAATGTCAGTAAGACACTTCTGCTTTTGAATCGCAGAGAAGCAGCCTCAGATACTCTTTGGAAAACAAACCACTGAGCAAGAAAGGCTATGTGATAGGAGCAAGAACAGCCCAGCGTTTCATACCAGAGCTACAGGTAAGAAAAGCATGCTTCAAAGCGGCAGAGCTGCAGCTTTGCAAGAATATGTAGGCTGTTCCCAACACAGACTATCAGTTTCAACCATATTTGCTGGGGCTGCCTCCAACTTAATATATACGGTAGCTACAGATCTCCTTACACATAGTCTAGTGGGAGGTGTTGAGCCTAGAGACTGATGACGGATCATATGAGCTCTGGCAAGATCAACACATGCATTTGTATATACACATTCCTTTGTATCACATATACACACATGTAGATGTACGTACTGAGGCAAAATCAGGGAGGGAGCTCAGCTATACTACCTGAACAAACATGCTATCTTTTCTGGCCCAGCTTCTCTAGAATAACAATATATTAGGAGAGACATCACAGGACACATTGGGTAAGGAGTAGGGAGTGCATAATTGACTTGTTCTGATATTTTTACACTGAGTAGCCAAAGCATGCATTGAACAGCAGGTCTGTAATGCCCCGCTGGTTGCTGATCAGAGCATGTAGGAATGGTTTGCAGAACAAAATCTTCCATATAGAAATTTTATCTCTTGCAGACTGTGACTCCCAGCCCAGCAACATACCAGTCATTCTGGATGAAAGAGAGAAAATGCCAGCCTGCCTATGCTCCATTTTCCATTAAGACACCACGATTTCCAGATAAGCCTTCAGATAAAGAATTTTTCCCTGGGTAATGCAACTCATTTTCTTACACTTTTAATAATAAGCAGGAGTACTAGCAGAGAGAAGTACTAAGACACAAATGGGAGATAGGTAAGCGAGTTCTCGGTAATGCTTTTTTATCTTCAGAAAGCTCCCCTGCTTTAGTCTTTAACTTAGCATGATGACTAGAATACCACAATATGCATTTCTCCCATGGATCGAGGTAGGGCTAGTAAATTCTGGTATTACAAACATCATACGCCAGCTCCAGAAATGAGGTATTTTGTGCCTGTTTTCTTTAGACCTGGAACTTACAAAGCAGACAAGCAATTACACAAAAAAATCACTTGGCCGATGAAGTTTGGCTCTCCAGACTGGTCTTTAGTGCCAATGCCAGCAAAGAGGATGCTAAAAATGGAGGTACAGAAGGTAAGGACAGGGATAAGGGGTTGTTATTCCTGGCTCAGTGCTTCTGACAAAGGATGATTACTTCAATGCATTTGCACTAAGTTTTGTCATCCTTTCCTCACTGGCCTGCTGGGTATGTGGCTTTCTAGGCACAAGATACAAAGTGATTTTCTATCAGAAAATGCTGGTTTGCAAAAACAGTTAGAGTCCTTCAAAAAAACACTTCTATTAAGAAATTTGCTCTGGAAGTTTCCATCCACAAAGTGAGAGAACCAGGGCACAGTCTTCCCCATGTAGCTCTGCTGAAAAGAAAACCTGATTTAAAACATAGGTTAAGGTTCTCAACACCATCTCACATCTTCCTGCCCTTTTTTGAAGCAATTGTCATTGCTAATATCTAACAGATAGTAGTTGTCTTTTAGCTGACCATAGACAGAGAATTCAGGAAACACCGGGACCGAGTGGCCTACCTGAGTTTATACTACAGCTGAGGAGCCAGGGCTGCCGCCACACATCCTCCCCTTCCAGCGGGACAGCTCAGGCCTCGCCTCCGCTTCCTGGCCACTTGTGGAGACCTTCATCTGCACTACCCAGCCTCTCCAAATAAAATCATTTCAAAAAGAGGGATTTCTTGCCACTAATTGTGCTTACCTGGTATCACACAAGGTGTCTACTGCCTCTGTGGGTGTTTGGGTGCCGCTGGGTCTGGCACACAGCACCCCTCGGCCCAGGCGGGGCTGGCAGCCATTTTCTTTGGGTCGCCATGGAAACACCTCACCTTGCCAGCCTCCCCAACATGGCTTCCCTTGCCACAGGGGGCTTTTTCCCCCCCAAATCCAGTCCTCCCTGGCACTGGAGAGGGGCCAAATTAACACAGCTAGAAGGTGTCTCAGCTGCTGCCCCATCTCCTCAGCCCAGGGAGCGAATACCACCATCTTCCCTTCAGCCACCACCTGCCTTCCCCAGCCTCCTCATCACCATCTCCTCATCTCCAACAGATGCTTCAGGCCGGGCCCAGGGCTTCACTCACAGCCTGAGGAGAGCTGAGAAACATGGGGGCGTACATACCGGTACTGCACTGCCCTCAGGTATTTTCAGAAAGAGTATAATGGCTTTGTGCACAGCCAGCACCTATATTAAAGTAACACACAGCAAACATCCTCAGGAAAGAGGCTGTGCTGGGACAGGTTAGAGCAGATGGCCTGCAAGACGTACGTTTGCGTTACTAGCTTTTTCCCTACTGACATGAGGAAGATATTCTCAAGCACGGAGCAAGCAACATGCTGCTAATGAATCTGGCCACGAAAATAAATTTAGTCTGAAACAGAAAGGTGCTGGTGTTCATCATCAGTTGTTTCTGTAATGTAAAACTCAGACCCTAGGGATTTCTATAAATGTTTACAAACCTTCACACACAGACTTAATCTGTCTGATCACACGCTTGATTCAATCTCAGGGGAAAACTAAGAGCAGGCAACATTCATTCTCGGTGTAACTACTAGTCACAATGCAGGTTTTCAAATTTTCTGGGTCTGTTTAGCTGTTTCTGTAGCAAATTTCACCTGCAGCCCAATTTCAGCTATAAAAAATGCATTCTTCCCATTTCCCACTTTCGGTCTTCGAGTGCTCTCACATACACATGACAACAGCTGCTCGCGACCTGTCTTTTCGAGGCACATTGGCCCCTTCCCTCCCAACCACAAGAGGCTGCTTTGTAGTTGCAGCTGTCAAAAAGGGATGTACTTGCCGATTTGCAGTTGTCCCTTTTGGTGCAACCTTTTGAAGGAGGGGGTACGACTCACTGGAAATTGTACTGTCCTAAGACCTGAGGTTTATTGCTGTTTAAGGTTTCACCTTTGTATTCATGGCTGATACCGCATACTTCACCTCCATCTGTCTTGGTTTTCTAATCAGAAGAAAAATACATGTGTAAGAGAAGATGTAAAAGAAAGTAAGCAGCACCTATGATTCTGCAGTCCTTCTCAACCACATGTTCCATCTGTGACTGGAGAAACCTACTAAACCTGTTGCAAAGCTGACGGTATTTCAAAGGCACTTTGTCCTCACTGAACATACTTCTAATGAACCAAAGATTTTTTTGAAAATTCCCAACCTTCTCAGCTATCATTTGTTGCTGTGGAGAAAGGAAGAGATGCAGAGGGAAGGACAAGACTTCCTCCCACTTGTAGACCCCACTGAAAACACACTCAGGTGCCATTCAGGTGCTTTTCCACTCCTGAAACTTTAAGGACTCAGCCAGCTTTGCTTGTAGGAGATAAAATTTATTTTATTAAGAACATAAAAATTACTATTTTCATTCTACATTTTTCCCCTACCCAGCGAGGGATTTTCTCATTATGAAAAATGCTTAATCCAAGTAAAAAAAGGTATAAATTTTTATATATACATACATACACAATGTCTCTGTACATTTGTTATTCTGTACAACCAAGGCACCAGCAAGTGACAATGGCACATGCAGGACTTTTTTGCTAGAGATGTAATTTCAGATTGATTGGCGGGAATATCTCTGTTCTCACTGACACAATTCCTCCTTTATACCTTCCTCCTCCCTTGGTGACAGGGGAAGAGGGAGGCCTGGGAGGATGCCTTCACTAAACAGAGAGGTGAACAGGTACACACATAACGCTGATCTCCCTGGTAACTGCAACAGACTTCTTGCATTCAGCTGCTACTCTAGGAAACCATGACCTGCTTGGCAGTCTGTAGCAGGCAGTCTTTGCTGCCTCACCCAGCACCACATTTTCATCCAGAAGAGATGCTTGGGAGACTGGACCAAACTACAGGAGTCTTTTGTCAAATAAATTTAACCCATATTTTGCCTAAGTAAAGGCTGAATGAAAATTAAAGCAAAGCCCTCCAGAACCAGCTAACAATTCCAATAGACCCATCACCAGTTATTTTCACTGCTGAAATAAAGTCTCCTGCTCTGGGGAAATAAAGGGGAAAAAAGCGCAGCTTCTGCTGATAAAAGCCCATATTTGAAAATGGACAACATAAAAAAGTGCGATCAATAGCACGGCCTTGCGGACTGCAATCAATACAGCTTTATTCCATATTCCAAGTTTTTCAGCACAGCATCTTTCAAAACAGCTGGTGAAGGTGTGAACTCTCAAAGGAGTTGTGCTGTGTTGAAACTAACAATAGAACTGAAAAATAGCCTGAAGCAGCTGTTAAATCTTGCTATTCATACTGCTAGAAAATAATCTCAAAGCAGTACAGGGTAAACACCACACTTAGCGCTTTTAAGTTAGACGTGCAGCTGCAGTCAGAAAAGTGAGAATAAAATGCCATCTTAGCTCTGTATTTACACTTCACTCTCTTACCAACACATCAGACGCCTTTAGTTTATAAAAGAAAAGTCTGTTTGCTTTTACCTGCCAAGAATCCAAAGAAAGAAACCTCTCTGGGATTTTTCTGTCTCTGTTAATACATGCTTCTTAGATTATAAGGCCAGGCAGGGTTGATTGCAGAAGTTTCTTTTCTAGCCTGCCAGACAGCCACAAACAAATTATGCCTTTCTATTCTGCAGAGCCTGCTGGGAAGCACTGAGCAGCAAGAACCTTCGTGTCTCCCATCTCTTCAGAGAGTAAATCCTGCTGACAGTGAGAACAAACCAAAGCAAACGAGACAATTCCCATCTGTAACCTGGTGGCCTTCAGCGCTTCTAAGGCAATTGACCATTGACCGTTCCAAGTCAGCAGGAGAACAGAGGGGAAACAGGGAGTATTGCAAACCAGGATGAGAGTGTAGTTCACTAGGCAGAGAGAGATCATTCTTCTGCTTCTGCCACTCAGCTGGATTGCCTCTCCTGTCTTGCTCCATGCCTCTCACCCACAGCAGCTGAGGTGAACCCCTTGGGTTTCTCTTCCTCTGAGCAGCCAGCTGGCTACACCTCACTTCTTTCTGCGGATCTTGGGCTTTTTCACTGGCCGGAGGTAGGGATTGTCTATCACATTTTCTTCCCCGTTCCGACTGCCTGACAGGGAAGTGTTCTGCTGTAACACTGAAGCGTTCTCCTTTTCGGGTCCTGAATCATCCTGCCATATTAAAAAAGCATAAATAAGCACAAACAACCAAAGTTAGGCTAAACGAGGCTTAGAAGTTCAAACCACACAACCTATGGGCAAAACAGATAATCAACAGCCAAGATAAACAGCAGCACACAAAGAGCTGCATTAAAAGTGAGGTCTCCAGATTGCTAATGCAAGAAGATCCCCTTCGGGAACAGTGTGGGATCCTAGGACAATCCTCTCTCCCCTAACACAGAAATGAAGGTTGTACTGAAAGCTCATGATCCAACCCCATTTTGCATTGTACCCTGCAGAAAGTTAAAGAACCATGACAATGTTTAGTCATTTACACCCGGTAGAATGCAACCCACTCTGCCATTTTCCACCCACTCTGCCCAGCTGCAAGAAAGACAGGCAAAGAACCAGGTTTCATAAGTTTAAGAAAGTGGGCCCAAGAGACCTTGATCTCTCAGGCTGGGCATACCGTGCTCATGTGCAGGGGGAGGTTCTCAGTGTCTGTCTGGTCGTCTTGCTCTGATGAATCTGTTTCTTCCATTTGCTGCATTTCCAGCTCAGAGGGGAGAAGAGCTGTCAGGTAGGGTACAGTGAAAGGCCTGGCAGCAATCACTGGGGTTAGGGAAAAGGACACGGTCAGCAAGCTGGGAGAAAACTCCTCAAGTCAGAGATTATGAAGCCAACCAGTTACTTAGAGACCAAACACTTACTCCTCAAGACAGAGATTATGAAGCATGAAGCCAAACAGTTACTTAGAGACCAAATACTTCTACTGGTTCTGGTTTTAAACACACACACTCTTTTCCTGCTGCTCCCAGGGATCAGGAATGAAATATGCTGTCCCTAAAAGTTGGCACTCTCTAATTTCCTATTTTCTGAGGCCCCTTTATATTTCCAACACAGCATTACACTAACACAAAAAATCCTTCCTGACCTATCCAATAAAAGTTCAATTATCTCACAGGCTGAAGCATCACTTAGCCCCCCCTTAAATTAACACTGACATCTGTGCTGTCAGTGAGCCTTAGGAAGGTGGGAATTCTCATCACTGCTTTGCAGATAAAGAAAGAGGAAAAACTTCACTGCCTACCACAAAAATGTAAGAGAGAAGAAATTACTTGTTCAAAAGTTACAGAGAGGCGGACACAGGATTGGGATGAGCTTTGAATTTAGCACCTATCAGCCAAGGCCTTCTCCGCCAGCAGAAGAAAGTGAGCCTTTGATGAGGGTGGAAGCCAACCATTTGGCTTTGATTCTGTTTTTCATCCCCATTTAAAATAGAAAATTCCTCATTTCCCATCCTTCCAGTGCCTCAGAAGGGCAAACACAGTGTGATCATTCAGTGCTCACCTCCTGCAGTAGCAAGAACTCTAACGGAGTGTATACTCAGTTAGACAGCTGTCATTTACAGCACAAAGTGTCCTAGATAACTCACATGGGAATGTGCTAACGTCATCTTTGAAGAGACTCTGCGTTTCTCCTGTCTTAGCCATGAAACGTGTGAGAGCTCTTTCTACATCGCGCCGTTGAGATGCTGCTTTTTCCCGAAGGACTTGATAATCAGATACTGGCTCCCGGTACGTCTGTGGAGCAGGGAGGAAAAAAAAAAAAAAAAAAAAACACCGTTAGTGGATGCAATGCAGACATCTGAAGTTCAAAACACAACTAGGATGCAGATGCTACAGGCAAGCATTGACCTTCAACATGCACAGATTTTCAGAGCTACAGATGTCAATCAGCCAGCAACCTGCAGCAAGGGCAACCCGCAAACAACAAGGGATATATTAAGCCAGAAGCAGCAATGTTTTGGATAAACAGTACCAGCACTGCAGTAAAAATACTTATACACCACTACTGGTGTCATTGACTTCAAACAGACCCCAGATGGCATAAAAATCTTTTTTCACTCACTGGTGTCTTGATGTAAGTGTGAGGATCTGGAAACTCAGGGAAATGGCCAGGAATGTGGGACGGATGTGGCTTGTTCTGTCCAGCTGTCAGGGCTTTGGGAGTCACTGGCTGGTTTGTCACAGGAGCTACAGTTAAAAAAAAAACCACACAAACACTTATCAGCCAGATTCATTCTGCCAAGAGTTAGGCATAAAGTGCTAGCTTATACTGAGCTGTGACCCATGTCTCCAGGTCCTATAAAAGGGACAGAGGACATCCCATGAGCAATAATTTCAGACTGTGTTCGGCATCCCAAAAGGGAACAAAGATTACTTGACCCCTCTCTCCTACACAAGGAGAACAAAACCATTTTGAGGATTCTCATGTGCAGTGAGGATGCTGAAGAAAGGCAACTGATTCGGCAGAGGGTACCTTCCTTCATCTATTACACAGTCATTACAGGAGTCCTTAACACAAACTACACTTCCAGGAGCACTGGCTGCATCAGAAAAGCAGGAGCTCTTTGGATGCCAGCAGAGAGAAATGCCAAATTATTTCCAATTTCCTGCATAAGAAGAGAAAGGATTTCCCACATACGGGCAGTGATGACCATCCTCTGAGAGCGCTTGGCATATGCAGGAAGCGTTTCAACATTGAACCCTGAAATACAAAAGAAGAAACAGGAATCACACAAAGAGTTTATCCTGTCGAAAATCCCTTCTCTTAGGCTTCTCCAGAATTCTTCCAAGGGCTCCAAATTACATGAGAAAGAAAATCATGCACTCTGATATACTCATACTGCATCCGCAGCAGCGGTATCTGAATGCCTGCGTGAAGCCCAAAACAGTGGGCACCACACAAACACTAGAAATGCAGGTGAAGGATCTTCCTACCAACACAGCACACCCAAATCTTCTGCAATGCAGGCAGCTGGAATTAGTGGGACCAGTCAACTACTCACCCATTTCCACCAGAGTAACCACTATATCAGAGAGCGTAGGCTGTGTTCTGGCTGTATGTTCACAGTAGGACTTTGCGCTCCTTCCAATTTCAGAAATATCTGGGGGGAAATAAAAAACACCAGCACATATTTGATTGAGACAGTGACCACACATTTGTATCAGCCCAATCGTAGCTTCAGAGACACGAATTTTTAGCAAATTTAGCAAGGAATGAAGAATAGCTCCTGGAATCCATTGTCTTACAGCCTGCATATTTAAAATTAAAGCATGTACAAAATACGGAGACACTGAAGATCCAAGAGTCAGGTGTTTTCCACAAACGCAAAAGGCAAATCTGCATCACAAGCATGAAAAAATACAAAACTTGATCATCGCTTGATTTCAGAAAAATCTGTAACCTGAGATCCTAGGCACATCACCCAGAAAAGTAGGAGCAGAGCTGCCAAACACGGGCACTTCTACGGCCTTAACTAACCAGACGTCTGGAGCTTTATTTCTCTGTTTATTTTGGCAGCACCTCGATATGTGGAGCTTATTAGGGTACCTAATGAGTATCTAATGAGTACTCACTGAGTAAGATAAGTAAGTACTTCTGAGTTCGAACAAACATCTCACGCTCACAGAAGTCCGTGACTCCAGGGCTGTGCTCTAGCCACCAGTCTAGCCTTCTGCTTTTGCTAGCATCGTTAATACAAGGTAATAAAAATGGGGGGGGGAAGAGAAAACCACAACAAAAAAATAAAAGAGCTAAGGCCAATTTGAAAACAGAGAAACGAGAAACTCCAGGGGATCAGTGTGACTTTGCTGGACACTCACAGCTTTGTAACATCTCCGTCAGCGTCTCCACCGCGGCCTTTTCAGCGCTCTCGAAGCCAGCTTCGGTCAGCAAGGAGCTGACCACCACTTGCAGAGTCCTCCTCCGAGCCAGGTAGTAGTTATCCGCCGGCGTGGTTGCATGCTTGCTGCCCGACCTCTGCGGACAGAGACACCCCCCCGCCAGCCCCAAGCCCCCCGAAACAAGACCTCAGAGAAACGAAGCCACCTCCAGACCCCGGGAGGGGGGAGCGGCGAGGCCTGAGCTCTGCCTGCCCCAGGAGCCGGGACCGGGAAGGGCGAGGGTGCTGATCCTGCCACGGGCTCTGTGACACACCGGAGGGCTGAAGGCAGGGCTGCCTGCGCGCTGCCTGCGCGCTGCCTGCGCTCAAAGGGCAGGGGCCGGCCCTGCCTGTCCCCCACTGCACGCGTACGCACACACAGGCACACGCGTGCATATGCATACGCACGTAGGTACATAAGTATACACACATGTACACACAGATCTGTACGTATACATCTACACACGCACGTATGTATTTACGCACACATACATATAGATAGGTAGACGCGCTGCTGCCGGCACCACCAGCGCGGACCGCCTTTTGGGGCGCGGCCCCTTTAAAAAAAGCCGCCCCACCGGCTCCCCCGCCTCGCTGCCCCCCTCGCCGGCCAATCCGAGCGGAAGAATTTGAGCCAATCAAGCGCCGCTACCGAGCCCCGCCTCCCTCCGGCCATTCAGCCAATCAGCGTCTCCCTCCCTTCAGCCTCCGCCTCAAAGCCCCACGGGCTAGGCCGCAGGCGTCCCGGCTCCATAGGAAGAGCAGACCGCTGCCGCTCTGCCCGGCTCTCCCCTCGGGAAACACCCTCCACAACAGCCCCGCGTCCCGGCGAGGAGCCGCCGTTACCGTGCCGGAACCACCGGACGCTGTGTCAGCCATCTTGGAGCCATATAGAGCTGTGCGCATGCGCCAGGTGAGGCGGCGGCGGGGGGGAAATACCCGCCTCGCCTTCGGGGGGCGCGCGGGGCATTGTGGGATTTGTAGTGTGGGTGGGAGGGAGCGCGCGTGGGCTGCCCCTGCCCGCACCGCTGCCCGCCCACCCCCGCAGCGGTGCGCCCACGGCAGGGTCGCGGTGTGCGGGGGGTGTTTATCCCCTGGGTGCTCCCCCGCACACCTGCGTGCCCGCAGCCGCCGCCTGTTGGGCCCGCGGGAGACGGGTGCTGGTCTCGTTCGTGGGCTCTGGGCGTCGGCTGAAACCCGTGGGCCCGGGGGATGGCCTGAGCCAGCGGGGGCAAGGGTCTAAAGTTCAGTCTGCCTTGCCCCGAGGGTCAGAAGAACGTCACTTTCATCTCCCGAGATGTGTTGAAGCTTGTGGTTTTCCACTTCTTCTCTGGGCACCCTGGGGCGAGAGCCCTCAGCCTGCCTCTGCAGGGTAACCAGGAAAACAAAACCTCGTGCAACGGTGTTGCACTTGCTCTAGAATAGCCTGCGTTCCCATTAGGAAATTATTTACGAAAAAAAAGCTTGAAAGGTGCCAGTGGTGTGCCAGTAACCCTGTAACCATGGGAGCACTTAGGGTTTTCCTGTTGTAAGCAATATGTACTCTTAGCTGAACCTCGGTGTACCAGATTGTGTGCTTAGATCTTCTGATCAAAGCTTTGGTGTCAGTTAAGTGTTTCAGAAAGACAGAACAGGAAACCCCCACACTACAACTCCCACCCCTTGCTTCCTGTTTAAGTACATGTGTGGGAGAGCAAGAACATTGTAAGAACCAATTACTGCATGTGAAAGGGGGAAAAAAAAGTGATGTAAACAACAGCTGCCACGCTGGAAATTAAAGGTCCTGATCTCATTTGGTTTGGATGGCAACACAGCTTCGACACGCTGCTGGCTTTTCAACAACAATGGCAGCAAAATCCATTAACAGATAGGGAAAGCGAGGAGGCAGAGGAAGGTGGAGGCTGGATTGTTCAAAGCAAACATGCCTGCAGAAGCAAATTTCTTGATCATCAAAGGTAGGAGGCAACATAGTTTCAGAGACTGAAAATGTGATAGAGATAGCAATCTTATGGCTTATGTGCTCGGGGACAAGCAAAAGTATTGGCAGAGGGCTGGTGGAGTATAATTGTGCTGAAGATATTAAAAGTACTTTGAAATGGCTGCGTGTGAGGGGGTCAGTGCTGACTGGGGGATCTTGCTGCAATTTGCCTATGTGAATTCCCAGGATGTTGGTGTTCTGCCAAACCATGAGGCAGCCACTTTGCCATCCTTCAGCAGGGATGTCTGTCTCTGCCAGGGCTTTGTAGTGGAGGTGGGGCAGGCTCTCAGCCCCCTAGCGTGTTAAGAAGAGATGTAGAGCTGTGATCACAGAGATGCTGAGCCCTTGTGGCTTCCAGTTGAGGAACTTCTGGAGGTCCGCATGCTAGTGAGTAAGCGGACATTGTAGATGAAGCTAAAAGAGGGGAAATGTGAGTGCTTAACTTTGGTAGGTTGCAATTTGCTGGGTAATTCTTGAGAAGTGTCTGACCCCAATTGTTTGGATGGGAAGGGAAGTGAACTCTGGCAGGTCTGGACTGAAAACATCCATGCAGTGGTGCCTCAGAGACAGGCTTGGGCTGAGCCAGAAATGTCTGTAGGAACACTGGGGGAGTTTCAGACTGGTTAGTACTGTGCCCCTTGGTCTCAGCTTGCCATGAAGTTAATTCAACCAATTTACAAGTTGCTCTTGTAGCAAATCCAGGGGATGAATAAATGGGGAAGCAAGTGTGGACAGGTGCTTTTGCTGATGAACATTGTGTGCAACAGAGTACTGAGTAAGGCAGCATTTTCTCCTCCTAATATAATATGACAGCCATCACACTCAGCAGGGGAAAAAAGAAAAGTAAATTGTGATTAGTGGTGTGGAGCTAGATCCTGAAATGTTTTAGGCAGAAGAGAGATCGCGTGGGGGTCCGATGCAGAGTGAGGGAGTAGCATGCATGTGTTTGAAGTGTGCAGGTCAGGACTTCAGTCTGCTCTTATCTCTGCTACTAACTTGGCTAAGTCTCTCCTTCACTCCCCCATCTATGCAGTGAGGAGGATGAGGAAATTATTTAGCTATCTTACTGAGATTGTGAGGGGTGCAATATAAATACAGCACATAATTGATCCACAACTCCTTGTTGTTTTATTGCACAAGGACAGTCTCTTCTTGATCTCTTGTCTCCAGGACTTTGTGATGTCACTTTTCAGCCTGTTATTTACAGCACTTGCCTAGAATGAAACAAACCTGGCTTTCAGTCCCTGCCTTCAGTAGAGTTTATGCACTTAACTGCTTCATGTAAACACAGACACAATCCCGAAGAATACAGTCTGAGACCCAGCACCCTTCTCCTACTCTGGAGAATTAACTGCTGATTTGTAGAACCACTCAGCTTCCCGCTGCCCCAGTTGAGTCACAGATTTTTTCTGTGCAATGATTGTTTCTGTCCATATGGATGGAGGGCATCCAGTGTCTTCCTGAGCTGACCTGGGGCATCTTCCCAGGAGCTGGAAAGTGGAGAGGCTGAGCAGTTACTGAGAACATGGGCACAGTCTCTCTTCCTTCAGCTTTTGTTGGAAAGGAGCCTTGCAAAGGCAAGATTTCAGACCCCCCCACATCTGTCAGCAATTCCCAGCTAGTTATTTTAAGACTCTGAAATGCCCAGCTCCTACCCAAGCAATGCTGAGGGAGCCTTGCCTAACCTAGCCTGTATTCCCATCAGGGACCAGATGCCCCACAGGACAATTCAGGCTGGGAGGGATTTCAGGAGGTCTCTAGTCCAGTCTCCTGCTAGAATTAGGCTCAGCCATGAGGTCAGACAAGGCTACCAAGTGTAACCTTCCCGTGCCTGCTTGCCTCATGCATCCCCACAGCAGTTAAGAGCAAAGGGACACTGGTCAGCGTAGCTGGGCTCTGCACTAGCTCTCTCAGCTCAGGCAGGCTTCAAGGAGTTTCCTCCAGGTGCAAGCTCCTTCTGCAGCTGAGGAATCTGCCTGCCAGGGCAGTGCCTTCCTTCACACAATGTTGCACAAGCACGTGCACCCAGGTAGGGTCTGCTGCTCTTGTGTGTGTGCTGCCTCCTTCCCCGGGGTGTATGCTCATCCAGATGAGCAGCCACAACTCTTCAGTGCTCCCCTGGCACCCACTGTCTCCTGCTGTGAGCTCCCTCTATAGAGATGGGTTGCTGCAAATAAGGCTGCTGAAATTCCAGCTTATTATTAATGTGTGGGAGCTATTGTGTAAATGAGAGTACTTCACAGCCCTGTGCTGCCTGTTTTTTACTCTTGTGAATATTATTTTTTCCTCCTTCCCGAAACTTCATAGACAAATTTGAACAGTTCTTTTTTTCTGAAGTCTCTAGCTCTTTGCACTCTAGGGGCTTTCATTTGGGAAGGGGGTGATGGGGAAGTCCTGCAGTGAGGGATACTAGGGGAGGCTGGGTGCTATGGTTAGTGGGGCAATGCATTGTATTATTCTGGGCTCTAGTCCTGGCTCTGCAGCCAGCCTGCTGAGTAACCATAGGCAAGTGTCTGCTCCTCTGCATTTCATTTTCCCATCTGTAGGTACTGGCATTCATTGTGAGATGCTTTTGGAGCTTATAAAAAGCAGCATCTGACATTAAAATATTCTTGTTGGTGATGCAGTACCCTTGGAAAGCTCTTCCCAGAGCAGTGCAGTCCATGTTGGACTCATCACAAGCAGAGTATCCAGAGCCTGGCAGAAATCCACTAGTCCAGAGATTTGCAGACAGTCATGAAATTATGGATACAACATCCCTTTTTTATGGTGTGGGTACATAATTCTTCCCTTATGCATAGCTCCCTTCTGATGGGGTGGGAATAAAAAAACTTCCATAAAGGTCCAGTTAGTCAGTGATTTAAGAGCTTCTTGCATGTCTCTCAAGTACTGGCTGCTCTGAAGTAGCTGCTAGTAGCCACTAGAGGAGACTAGTTAGTCGAGACAACAGGGGACTACCAAAAAAGGAGCACTTTAGTGCCATGCTAAAAGATGTTGCCAGGGATCCAATCTGAAAGGGGCAGAATTTGGACGCAGAACCCTACTGGCAGTTTGTGTCCATAGGTGGAGGGCAGCATCTTTATTTCAGAGCCTATGTGAAGTGGGAAATGACACTGCCAGTGGAAGGATTTGCCAATTTAATGTGCCAGTTTCCTCTGGAGCACTGTGAAATTGGTCATCTGGCAGCAAAATGAAAAAATGCAGGATAGTGATATTCTGTCTGCCTTCCTGGACATGTTGTGTTTTCCCAAAGATTGGAACCTTTCCTCTTGTTTCCCATTTTTAGCAACAACAAAAAACATTTTCACATTGGTGTCAAACTGAGAAAGGAAAAAAAGTTCATGTGTGTTTACTCTGAATCGCATGCAGATTATTTAAAAGAAGAGGTAGGAGTTAGGATTCCCAGGTGCATTGACACTAAACAGTTGTGTGACCCCAGACAAGAATAATGTTAACCTTGTTGAGATACAGCTGAATAGTTATTCTGATATGTACAAACCCAGAGGGGAAGCTGTAAACCTTGTTGAAATTCATATTTGAAAAGAATAATGGGAACTGATGACTCTGGACTCTTTGGGTAGGGAAAGCCCAAGGCTTTGTAATTTTTTGAGCCTGGGAGGTACTCAGCGTAGCAGAAGAGCCCACAGGAGGCTGGCTGTATGACCTTGATGTTTTAAAATCACAACTTTGAGAGAGGTGGTTAGTCAGATGGAAATTTACTGAGCTCCATGTAGGAGTGAAATTTTGCAGCATGTGTTAGGCAGGAAGCCAGGCCAAGTGATCTAATGTCCCTTTGCGCTCTTAAATTTCATTGTGCCTCTGGCTTGCCAGAGTGATGTGCCTTGGACAGGCCCAGAGCAAAGGATGGAGCTGCTGCAGGTTGGGCTCCTTGCAGCACCAGGTCCCAAAAGGAGGCAGGTGCC